CAACCACCACTCCTACGTAAACAGCAACTCTGTTTATTGAATGATGAGGATTTCAACACACATTTTCAAGTTACAACCTTCAATTTAAAAATTTAAACTTAAAAATAAGGAATTTGTTCATTAACTGAAAAATAAAATGAAGTCATAAGATCTAATCTTTTTAGTCTCTTAAGTGACCATCTGGTGCTGTACATTCAATCACAATTAACAAAGTTTAACCCCCAAGGCAACTTCCACTGTGAATTCCAATGGATATAAAATGCAAGGCATTTTCATATTACTTAATTTTTAGTAGACTCGATCACAATAAAGGAAAAATTAATCTTCATTTTCTCAAACTGTAAGACCTGTAAGTATTTACAAATAAGAACTCAGATATTTTGCTACAGAGTCTGCCAAGAAGAGGGCTGTATTCTGACCAGACTACTTTCCTAACATGGTTACTTGGCCTCTAGACTGAGGGTTATATGATTACAAGGTAGAGGTAATTCACCACCACAAAAAAAGAGGACATCATTATGTTATTATCATCACATCTAAATGAGGGTTACATAAAGGCTCATAAAAGAAAGCACATGTAATCTGGGCTTCCCAAACACAATCATATTACCTAGGCTAAAAAAACAAGTGAGGGGCTGGTGAGATGGCTCAGCGGCTGCTCTTCCAGAGAGCCAGAGTTCAATTCCCAGCAACCACATGGTAGCTCACAACTATCTATAGGATGGATCTGATGCCCTCTTCAGGCAGGCAGATATATATGCAGCAGAGCACACATACATTAAATAAATATAATTTTAAAAAATTAAAAAAATAAAAAACAAAACAAACAAAAACCCAAGTGAGTTCCGCATGGTGGTGCCCCTCTTTAATCTCAGCACTCAGGAGGCAGAGAAAGGAAGATCTCGGTAAAGTCTAGGACAGTCTACACAGTGAGTTCCAGGATAGCCAGGTCTATATAGTGACATCCACCTCTTCCAAACAAACAAACAAACAAACAAAACAACAATAAACAAAAGAAATAAAGACTGTCAGGTGTTGGAGGCACAGAGGTTTTTGTGCCATCAGAAACCAGGAATGTTAAACATACAAGGTTCTCTCTTTAAAGAAAGAGATAAAACCTGTTTTCAGAGCAGAGGTGGTTAGGAGCCTGGTGACTTTTGCATTATCTGTGTGGCCAAAACCACACCAGATCCTCCCCAAGACCTTATCATGAGACTGTTTCTCTCTCTCTCTCTCTCTCTCTCTCTCTCATATATATATATATATATATATATATATATAAAATCTCCTATCTTTATGGAAGATTTCACATGTACTTCCAAAGTTTCAACATGGGATTGAGTTAATTATCACCAAGAAATTTTTTCACCAAATTGTACTGCACTTAAATATGTCTAAAGGAAACTAATTAGAGTCCAATTCTCAATGTTTAAACCAACACAGACTACTGAATTGTGCTAAACTGAACTGCTCCATCTTACATGGATTGACATGTTGACTACTGGGGTTGTGGAGACCCCCTGTACTTCAGGATTAAAAAGTTGTTACAAATCACAAAGGAAATGGTAAATTAAAGAAAATTATCCAGAGTTATTGGAATAGCTTGTATTAAAAGCAAATTAAAAGAACTCTGCTTTGCCTTTAAGTCCTATTTTCTTCCTTTTTAAAAATTTGTTGAAGTTCACTTGTAATTTTAACAATTTATATACAAATATAATACACAAATATACAAAAAACTTCCCATGGAAACATTTTGGTATAATTAATGCAATAGTTTCACAAGTTCAATGATTGTATCTCCATACTTGTGACTTAGTACGTAACAGATATAACACTGAGTGCAGTGAGAGAGAGAACTTCCTGCCAATTGCTCTTGAAAGAATGAGGGTCTAGAGAGATGACTCAGCAGTTAAGAGGATGTGCTGCTCTTACATAGGACCTGGGTTCAGTTCTTAGTATCCACAAGACAGCTCACAGCTGTCTGTAACTCCATTTCCTCCACAGGCACCAGGCAAACACATGATGCAGATATACAAAATACTCATATACATTGAAAGTTAAAGCTGAGAAAATTCTAATTACATTCTACTAAACTAGTCCACTGATCAAGGGCAAAAACATTCATTAATAGAAACAAAGATTTTACTTTTCCTTTATATTAATTTTGTAATAAACTTTACTGTTACAATACTATTATTATTATTGCTATTATTATTGTATGTGTTTGTGAAGTGAATATTTGTGTGCTATGGTACAGGTGTAGAGGTTAGAAAATAGTTTATCTGAGGATTCAAAGATTGGTCCTTAAGGTCGTACTTTAAAATGAATTATCTCTCCAGTCCTCAAATTTCTTTACACTAATTTTGTATGCAATTTAAAAAAGACTCATTTGAATTCCTTTTAATGTTCAATATAATCTGCTATGCTGCTTTTCAGATGACTTTAGGTTGATCATCTATTACAAACAAATCCCTTCATCTTGTTTTTCCAAGAAATATCAGATGGTGGATCTAGATAAGAACAGGAAGGTAGCTGGGTGGTGGTCCACATCTTTAATCCCAACACTTGAGAGGCAGAAGCACGTGGATCTGAATTCAGGGACAGCCTGGTCTCACAGAGTGAGTTCAAGGGAAACCAGAGGGACACAGAGAAATCCTGTCTTGAAAACACCAAAGCCAAAACAAAACAAAACAAAACAAAACAAAACAAAACAAAACAAAACAAAAAATAAAACAAAAAGCTCAAAAGTTTTGCTAGGTATGGTAGTATATCCCAGCACTAGAGAGGCAGAGACAGGCACATCTCTCAGTTCAAGACCAACCTAGGATATAGAGTGAGTTCTCAAACAGCCAGAGCTGCAGGGAAACAGTCTTGGGAAAAAACAAACAAACAAACAAACAAACAAACAAATCACAAACTTCAAAACAAAAAACAACCAGAAAAATATTCTGTAATCTATCTTTTTTTCTTTTTGTCTTTCCTTCAACTTCTGCATATGAATGCAATATTATACTACTAAGAATTTAGCAGTTACAGGACAGGAGAGTTGATGCAGTTCAGGCATACAGAATTGCATTTAGATGTCCAGTATTTATGTAAAAAACTGAAAAGTATGCTTGCAATCCCAGCACTGGGGAGGGAAAGACAAGAGGACCCCTGTGGCTCACTGGCCAAGCAATACGGCTAAACACAGGTTTATGTAGACCCTCTGTCAAAAAAATGTGGCATGTGATTGAGGAAGACACCTAATATTGGCATCTGGCCTCCATCTGCGTGTATATACACATAGATATATCTGCACACACACGCACATACACATATACCAAAAACACAAACTCATACCAGTTTAGCAGTTACTAAGAAATAGAATCAATTACTTCTCTAGTATCTTTATTTCAGATAAAAGAGATAAGCAGATATAAATATAATTCTAAAATTCAAACATTTTTGAGATTGGGACTCCTTCTATTTATTGCCCAAGCTAGCTTCAAACTCTCAAACCTCCTGCTATAGCTCCCTAAGCAGCTAGTACCATGTGCCACTGGGTCTAGCTTAAAATTCTAAGTTTTAAAATAAACTTAGAGAAACGATGTACTAAAGATTATCTCCCAAATTATGCTTGAGATCATTAATTCAACACTCTCCTATGCCAAGCATTCATGCCTTAACATTAACATATTGGCTTTAGAAATGAACTTAGTATGTATAGAGAAGACTTGTTTGAAATGGTGGGATTAATTCAGCATTGAATATCACTGTGATATCCATTTTACCCAATGAAGATAAAACTACAAATATGGAATTGCTCTAATTCCTTATTCAGGAACAAGAAGAGAATAAAGAAGCAAACCATGTAGCCATGTAGTCTAATAAGCACTCCTGCATCTCCATCTCACCCCACTCTGACAGGGCCTACTTAGATCCTGTTGTCCTGTCTTCAGATTCCTACCACTCCTCTAATTTTACCTCAGATTTTTAAGGTCACTTATAAAAACAAAATGTCCATCTTTATTTTCTTTTACCTCAACTACTACTTCACCAAGGAAGTACTTTAAAAAAAATTGTTGAAAGGGTTATAAAAAACACTTAGTTTTACATGTTATTTTATCAGTTATATTAAATAACAGCATCAAACAACTATGGACGTGTGCCCATGGCCACTCAGAATGTGAGGACACTGTTTCTGTGTCACTGATTAACAGATAAAACTGTCCAAATCCACTTAAAGTCTTTTCTTGTTTCTGTTTTTTATTTTTTTTTAAAGAATTATTTATTTTATGCATATGAATACAGTATCACTCTCTTCAGATACACCAGAAGAAGGCATCAGATCCCATTACAGATGGTTGTGAGCCATGATGTGGTTGCTGGGAACTGAACTCAGGACCTCTGGAAGAACAGTCAAGTGCTCTTAACTGCTGAGCCATTTCTCCAACCCTGTTTTTTTATTTTTTTTAAAGCTATTTTTACTTCATTTCTTTGTTTGCTGTGTGTGTGTGTGTGTGTGTGTGTGTGTGTGTGTATGTGTGTGTGTATACACATAACTGAGCACACTTGCACGAGTCCTCTCTGTCTTCCATGTAGGTTCTGAGGATTGAACTCCAGTCATCAGGCTGGGCAGTGAGCTCCCTTACTGGCTGAGCCATCTCAGTGTCTTGTTACATAGATTACTCAAACCTCAAACTCATAGCAATCTTACTCCTCAGCTTCACAATTGCTGAGATTATGGGTATAACTTGTTCTAAGCTTTATACAGAATTTTATAAACTGAAATGAACTTCAGCTATTAAAATAACAATTACATAAAGCAAAATAATCATTTCTTCAAAATTGAAAATTGAAAGAAGTTTACTTCAGGCACTGGTTTGAGGATTAGAACACTTGAAAACACAGAAGAAGTTAAACACAGATTTTAGAATTGTAGATTCCAAAGTAAAATGCACCAATATAGACAGAAGAATCTGCTTCATGTTTGTTCCCTGAAAGAAAGCCATGCTTACCAGATAAAGCAGAAAGGTGTGCAGTCCTGTTCCAAGACCAACAGAGGACAAAATCCCCAGGCCTATCCAGTAGGCATACAAAAGAAACTGCTTCTCTATCCGCTGCACATACTGAAAAACAAAAGGAACAAGGTATAAACTCAAACACCTGCCCAGGACTATGCTACTGCTAACCAACTCCATGACCCTTCAGTGGAGAAAGCTCTGATGAGCTGAGAAACAGTAAGACAACACACTCCTTGAAGAGGTCTCGAACTGTCAGTGTACTACAGCAGAGAGGACAAAAAAACAAAAGCAAAGCAAAACACAAAACCAACCCCTTTAAGCAGAATAAGCTGGCATGGGGGAAACAAAAAACAAACCACAGGTTTGGTAATCGATATTATTTTGCTCTCTTTGATTTCTTGAGACAGGATCTCAGACTATAGTTCAGCCTGGCCTGGTACTTTCTATATATACCAGGATAGCCTCAAACTTCAGCTGATCTTCCTGCTTCTGCTTCCTGAGTGGTGTGATTATCCTTGTGTGCTACCATGCTCAACCAACCTAGTATGATGATGCTAAGAATAAACACTTGAAAGGGATTTAAAAATTAGACATAAAACAGTGTTAAGAAAGGGACAGTTATGTATTATCTGTAAAGAGAAAACTTTAGGAATACAGGAGACACAGTGGTAAAGAAAGGGGGCAATGAACCAGGTATGGTGGCACAAGCCTTTAAACTCAAGAGGAAGGCAGGGGGAATCTCTGTGTGTTCCATGACAGTAAGGGCTATGTAGAGAACCTGTCTCAAAATACCAAGTCTGGGGAACAATCACACATTTTTGTAAATAGAATACATTCTTGATTTTTCAAGTAAAAAACAGGAATAAAACAATTTGTATATGCTTAACACCAGGTTGTTTTTCAAACAGTAGCAAAAATGAATTCCAGTGTAAGGAAGACCTGACTTTCAAGAAAGAGCTGACTTATTTCTAGACAAATTTCTCAGTGTTAGTCAATAAAATAAGAGAGTAGAGTACAGAGGTTATAAAGGTGTTGGCTGCTTGTTTTGCTTGTTTGTTTGTTCGTTTCTTTGTTTTGTTTGTTTCTCTGCATAGCTTTGGATGTCCTGGAACACACTCTGTAGATCAGGCTGGACTTCAACTCACAGGGATCCACTTGCCTCTGGAGTGCTGGTATAAAAAGGGTGTAGACCACAGCTATTTATTTATTTGGTAAGAGGCAGAATTTCACTGTGTACCCCTAGCTAGCCTGGGACTCTATTAAACAAGCTGTCTTTAAACTCACAGTGATCCCCCTGCCTCTGCTGTGCTTACTAGCATGAGGCACCATGGACAGCTTGGATGCAAATTCTTACCAAGTGTCTTAGGGTTTTACTGCTGTGAACAGACACCATGACAAAGGGAAGCTTTATAAGGACAATATTTAATTGGGGCTGGCTTATAGGTTCAGAGGTTCAGTCCAGTATCATCAAGGTGGGAACATGGCAGCATCCAGGAAGGAACTGAGAGTTCTACATCTTCATCTGAAGGCTGCTAACAGAATACTGGTTTCCAGGCAGCTAGGGTGAGGGTCTCAAAGCCAACACCCACGGTGACACACCTACTTCCAACAAGGCCACAGGTTACAATAGTGCCCCTCCCTGAGCCAAGCACATACATATAAACCATCACATTCTACTCCCTTGGCCCCCACAGGCTTGTTCAAACATGAGTCTATGGGGGCCATTTCTAGCTATAACATAATCAAACAAAGTACATTTGGTCCAACTTCCAAAGACCCCATAGTCTATAGCCATCTCAACAATGTTTGTTTCTTTTCTTT